CTGACAAGAGGCCTAAGGGAGTGTGAAGGCTGAAGCATGCATTCATTTAATTGTTCATTCCAGTGGACAATACACTATTGTCATTAGAGAACTCTGACAAGAGAATGTAGCACAGGTCAGCCCTGCCACTGGACCTCCAGGCCCTCGACTGTGCTTCCCCCAAATACCCAAAAGGTTCACTCTTTCCCTGCTTTAGGAAGGATCTCCTTATCAGAGACACCTTCCCTGGCAGCCCTATTTAAAGTAGCAACTTCACACATCCTTTCACCATTAACTTCTATCCTCACACCCTGCTTTATTTATATTCTCCACAGCATCTAACACCAACCAAAATACTATATATTTGTTTGTTCATTGGCTGTTCTACCCACTTGGATGTAACCTCCTTGAGAGGAGAGACTTTCTTGTTTTGTGCTGCAGTGCACTGGTTAAATTGATCAGCTGCTAACTAAAATGTCAGTGGTTCGAACTCACCAGCAGCTCCGTGGGAGAACGATGAAGCAGTCCATTTCTGCAGAGATTTACAGCCTTGGAAACACTGTGGGGCAGTTCTACTCCATCCAATAGGGTCACTACGAGTCAGAATGGACTCAATGGCAGTGGGTTTGGTTTTGGTATCTTTAGTACCTAGTGCGGTAGTCATACTATGGCTTATAAATGATTGTGAATGAGTGAATGGCCTGCGATGTGCTACCTAACCTCTCTACACCTGTTTCCTTATCTGTAAAGTGGGGACAAACCCACCTAGCAATTTCACAGGAGAAACACCTGACAATCTGCTTCCATAAAGATTGCAACCAAGAAAACCCTACAGGGCAGTTCTACTCTGTCACATATGAGTTGAAATAGACTCAACGGCACCCAATAGCAACAGCAGACATCCATCATAAGGGTGGGTGAGACCAAGTGAAGGCCTGATAATAATAACCATTCTTAACCAATAATATTATTATCACTCATTCATGCATTGTTCGTGTTGTTGTTATGTGCCGTCGAGTTGGACCCGACTCATAGCGACCCCTCCTTGGGTTTCCGAGGCAGTATCACTATGGAAGTAGATTGCCCCATCCTTCTCTTAAACACCTACTATGCAGATAAGTCAAGTAGTTGTAATGAACATTAGCTTTGGAACAAGACCACTCTGGTCCAAGTCCTGGCTGTACCACCCTGAATAAAATTCCTAAGTTCTCTGGGCTGCAATGACGATAGTACTCACCACACAGGATTATTGCAAGGATTAAGAGATATTGTATGTGAAGTACTTGACAAGCATTTAGTAAATGCTCCACAGATGATATCAGCTATTAGTAGAGGAGGAAAAGAAACAAGATCAATCTTTTTTTAAAAAACTCTGGAATTTTCCTTTATTTTTTAAACTTTTTATTGTGATTTGTGTGAAAGTTCACAGAGCAAATTGGTTTTCCATTCAGCAATTCATACACATTTTATTTTGTGACATTGAAACCCCCACAATGTGACAGCACTCTTCCCACATCCCCCGTGTTTAGAATTTCCATTAGTCCTTCTTTCCTGCCCACTCCTGATTTCTGAGCCTTATCCCTGGGCAAATGCTGCCTTTTTGATCTCATATGGTTGATTGTTCTAAGGACTGGGTACCTACCTCCCTGGTGTCACTGTTCACCTTTTAGTTATATTGTTTGGCTGAAAGTTGAGCCATGGGGTGAGCTCAATTCTAGGTTCAAGTGTGTCTAGGGTGTCTTGGGAGTTCTACCAGTCTCTATCAGACAAATAAGCCTGGTCTGTTTTATGATTTTTATTTTTGTTCCACATTTTTCTCCCACTCTATCCAGGACCCCCTATTGTGATCCCTTTTACAGCGGTCAGCACTGGCAGCCAGGCACCATCTAGTTCTTCTGTTGTCATGGTCATGGAGGCCAGAGTTCTTATGGTCCATTAGTCCTTTGGACTATTTCCTTATGTCTTTGATTTTCTTCACTCTTCTTTGCTCAGGACGAGGAAAAGACCAATAGTTGTGCCTTGGACAACCACTCACAAGCTTTTAAGATCCCAGTTGCTACTCACCAAAGTAGGATGTAGAATACTGTCTTTATGGACTATGTTATGCCAATTGACCTTGCTGGGCCCTGAAGATCAGTCTTTACAACAGAGCAGAGCTAGTGATGTGATACCAAGGAACACACAGTGCTATTTGACAAAGAAAAACTCTTACTCTGAAAGTCAGTTCAAAACAGGCTTCCTGAAGAGGTCTCGTGAGAGTGGGAGTTGGCTAGGTAGAAATGAGGGGGCAGAGTCTGTGCAAAGGCCCTGAAGCAGGAGAAATCCAAGTCCCATTGGATTTCCCATTGCAGGAATTGCATCTCTTGAGAAGCAGCAAGAGATTAAGCTGGAGAGCTGGGTGGAGGTTATTTATGAAAGGCCTAATTAACGTAGCAGCCTTCTGGAGACAACAGGGGATCCAGCAGAGTGTTGGGCAGGAGAATGACATGACCCAATTGCACTGAGATAGGTCACCATCTGCACAGGATACACAGTCCATACAATTCTTTCCCTGCACAACATATTTATTCCTTCAGTGATTCCACTACTATTTATTGAATACCTGCCACATGCCAGGCACTATGCTAGGTACCAGAGGGACAGCTGGAAACAAAAATCCCTGCATGCTAATGAGGACAGACAGATAGCAAACTAACTAAATACATACATACATAGATACATGCATACACAAACAAAATCTGTCATGTGCTCAAAAGTGATAGGTGGTGTAGCAAAATATAAAGTAAGGGCTATCAAATACTAAGTAGGGGTAAGGGTGTGCAATTGGGTGGTCAGAGAGGAGTCCCTGGGTGGAGCAAATGGTTAAGCTACTCAGCTGCTAAGCAAAAGGCTGGGAGTTCAAGTCTACCTGGAGGTACCTCAGAAGAAAAGGTTGGCAATCTACTTCTGAAAAATTGGCCATGAGAACCCCACCGAGTGCGGCTCAGCTCTGACACACAAGACCACGAGGCAGAATCAACTCGACAGCAACTGGCTTTGAATGGTCTGGGCACACCACATGCCTGCCTCACCCAGACAGCCTCCACCAGGCCGGGTTAGCACTTGGCCGCTGCTTCCACCTAGAACACTCTCCCCCACCTCCCCACACTGGCTCCTTCTCATCTAACATAAATGTCTCCTCTTCA